TTATATAAGATTGAGTTAAAAATAATATTAATTAAGGCCTATTATAATATCGATAAGATCAAACGAGCTTATTAATAATTAAAAAAAGCGTTTAAATTATTAAAAATAAAAGCCCGGATCTTATAAATAACGACTATTTATAAATAATATTAAAATATTATAATAATATTATTAAACTATAAAGTTTAATTTTAACGCTTTTAATATTTAGATTATATTTAAAAATTACTATTTTGTATTACGGCCAGCTAGTTATAGTGAGGTTTATATTAATAAAAGTCGGGGCTACGATACTTATAAATAGTAGTCGTTATTAAAATAATTTTAAAAAAGCTATTATTTATAAATCGTTAGGTAAAAAGGCTTTAGTAATTAATTATAATTTTATTAATAAGGTTTTTAATAAAAATAGTTAAAAGCGATCGTTAGATTTAGTATAAAAATTAATTATTAAAGAAGCTATAGAAGTTTATTTTTAAGCTTAGCTTAGGCTATCCTATATATAAGTCCTAATTATAAATATATTTTTTATAATATTTTATTTATTTATTATTTAACGGTTTATTAAACGGTCGTCCGTTTTATATTTTTATAATTACTTATCTTATTTATTTATAAACGTCCGTTTTTTATTTTATTATGCGATCGTGGTTATATAATTTATTTATAATTCTTTTGTCCTAAGGGGAGCCGTTATTATTATATATATAGTATAGTAGCCGCCGTAGGTCCTGTGGGGCAGGGCCCTGGTCTAGCAATGCGTGTTGGGTCGTAACATTTCGTCGCTATTATCGTTTAATATTATTTAAAAAGCATAGGTAATTAAAAAAATAATATAAGCTTTACGGGATCTAAGGATAAAAAAGTAAATTAATAAAGCTTTAATAATATATAACGGGCCCGATATATTATAAAATCTTAATATCCTATTAAATTTAGATATATAAGTTTAAAAAGATATTATAAATAAATAAACTAAATTATATAAACTAATCTTTATTAACAAGCGCTCTTATATAGTTATAAAAAATTAAAATTAATTACTTAAGGTCGTAATAACAATAATTCGATTATATAACTAAGTAAATAAAAAGATAATTTATAAAGAAAAAAAAAAAGCTAAGGGAGGTTAAATAATTACTTTTTATTTAAAAAGGTAAAGACTAAATTGATTAATTAAAAATCGTTTTTAATAAGATCGTTATAGTTAATAAATTAAATAATTAATTATTAAATCCGCCGTAACGGCGGCGAAGTCGGCTTTAAAAAAACCTAATTCCGTAATTTTTTAATTATAATAGATTAATTAACGATTATATTAATATTTTTTATTTAATTAAAAAGAAAATAAACTTCGAATTAGCTTTTAAATTATAAAAAAAAGGGATTATTATTATAAAAAATAAGCCTTACGAGGCTTTAAATATTATTAAAATAAAAACCTTATAAAATTAAAGCGTATATCGCTTCGTTTTATATAATTTAAATAAATACGCTAATTTATAAATCTTTAAATTATATGTAATTTAAAAAATTAAAAGTAAAGGAATTAATGCGCCGTATAAAAAATCTCGTTATATAATCTAGGGATATAATAATATTAAAAAAGCAGAATTATTTACGTAATCGCTAATAATTTAAAAAAGTAGCTAACGGTTAATATTAACTTTAATTTTTTCCCTTATTAAAAATAAATATTATATATAAAATAGGGATATTATGTAAACGTATATATAATCCGCTATTAGTTTAATATAAAAAATCTTTATTTACTTTCTAAAAAAGATAACTAATAAATATTTAAAAAATACGATTATCAAAATACTTAAACTACTATATAGGCTAATAAAATCGGGAACTTATTAATAAGCGACCTATTATAATTTCTATATTAAATAGCTAAGTATAATTATATTAACTTACGATCTATACTTATTAATTTTTAATTATTTAAAAGGACCTTATAGGATTATTAATATATAAACTAACGATATATTAAACGTATTTAACATTAAATTTATATGGAAAAAAGATAAAAAGTTTAAAAAAACCGAATTTATTATTAAATTAAAAAAGATCTTTATTACTAATTATTTATTAACATTTAATAACGGGATTTTTATAATTAAAAGCGATACCGTTATTTTTTATTAAAAAAAGTAAAAAAAGAAAATTACTCTCGTTAGTTTTATATTACGTAATTAATAAAAAAGATATCGAGTAAAATAAGTAAAAAGATTATATATTATTAATATTTATTAATTAAAAATAACGTTCGATACCGTAAAAGTAGCGTAAATTATAAATTTAATTAAAAAAGACGTTACTATATTAAATAAACGGCTAAGTTAATAAATAGTAAACCTTAATCGTAAGTTAATTTATTATCCGCTAGATCTAATCTTTGCTAAGTTTTACGTTTTTATTAATAAATCGTTTATAAATAATATAGATCTGACCTTTTAATTTAAATATATTATTATTTTAATAAATAAAGCTATAGGAAATAACGAGTTTACGATATACAATAATATCGTTTACTATTTATTAATTAAAAATAAAAAAGTAATTAAAAGCGTTTTAATTTTAAAAGTTTATAAAATAATTAACGGTATTAACCTTATTTATACAATCTTTATTATATTTAAACGGATTATAAATCGATTAACCTTACTTACGATATTAATAATTATTTATATAAATTCCTATTTATTATATAAATACTTTATTAAGTTAAGTATTATTAAAAAAAAAAGTTAATAATAAATATTATAGCCTTACGGTAATTATATAAACAATATAAGATTCTTAAGATCCGTTAGATTAATAGCGAAAATAATTTAATAAACGTTTTTATTAAATAGAACTTAAACCTAAGTTTAAAACGATTTATTAATAACAGAACGATTATAATACGTATAAAAAATAGGTTATATAAAAGGGGTTTAAAAAAGAAGCGGAAAAGGAATTATAAATATTATTTTTATTAATATATTATATATTATTATAAAATCATTATATTACCCTTTTAATTATATAAGATTAACGATAAAAAAGAGATAGTTAGTATCGGATTGGAAGCCTAATTCGACCTTGAGTCAGCGCCAGCGCAGGGGCCATCTGAGGGTCTCTATATTAGCATTTAACCGGCGATCTAACCCACGGTTGGAACCTCTCTTTTCCACTTCACGCAGAGATCAATACAAGAGTAATTGACCCTTCGTCACCACGGTTCGATCGAACAAATCACCCTGTGATTACGTAAACCAACAGTAATAAAGCATCACGTGGCATACGCTTTGGTACAAAAGACAATGAGCTCGATGTACGGGGCATGAAGACGTATATTGCAAAGTTGATCAAGTACGAACAAATTGGATTTTCCCTCCATTCGACGCGTTTCCACTGGCATCTGCAGGGGTATCCAGGCCACCCAAAGCCGCAACGAGTCATGATATAGTATTTGCAGGGTACGATCCAAGACATACTACGTAATGTTCTAGACAACACACGAGTGAGTCTCATGATCAAGCTGCAGAATATGGCCGCGCGCAATACTCACAAGTCTTTCGAGATGGACAACAGCGACTGTCACAACTACACTACTCGCATTTTGGCAGGCTTCTCAATCGACCAAGCATCGGTCTCCTTATGAAACAAGCGTGTCGCATTCGCAAGCGTACGGTCTGGCTGATTGATTAAATGTAGATTTGCTATTTAAGACGCAGCCACTCGATTCCACCGCGATCCAACACAGGGCGAGTTGTCATTAGCTGGACTTATTGATGGAGGCGGCCTGATGCTTGCTCACAGACTTTTGGTAGGTAGTTGTGAGGATGCAAGCTAGAAAACGCCCTCAAAGTCGAGAGTTGGTTCGACAAATGATATGTTGTGCCAAAATTTTAAGGATTTGCAAAGCCTGGAAAGGCGATGGCTGGAAAGTCGAGTTCCGGAGCTGGTGGGTGATAGCTAGTTATCTTTTGTTGAATGGCTCTCTGCGACTTCGTAAGCGCACATTTTGCTAGGAATGCTGAGCTTTACAGATTTAAACCACATGAGCAAATTTTTTCCCGAGTGGGAAACTTTTGAGCGGAATGCGTGGAAATGGCATGCTTGAGTCTTCACCACAGAGTTGAATGAAGTCAGAAGACCTCATGTTGTCACCATTACTCTTGACATGTACCGTCAAAATTCCGCTTAGGGAGCCTTTTTGTTTACATATTTACATCCAGTCAGTCAGACCGAGATATTTCCCTCTTGCATCAGATTGCCAAGCCCTCTCGTTGCTTGGGCTCAGCTAATTGTTACTGCCGAATGCTTCCTTGCCGGTGAGTCTCCCAGAATCGAAGTGATGCAAGCCCTTCCGGTCCCACTTCCTCTCAACCGTCGCCACCCATGCTCAATCCCCACCCCACACATTGGGAGCTCATGAACAATTCGCTTCCGGCCCCGTCTCACCAGCGAGTCCACCACTTCATTCTCATACGCCCTGATGGTCTAGCGGTATGATTCTCCCTTAGGGTTGTTCTATGACACACCGGTCTGGGAGAGGTCCCAGGTTCGAATCCTGGTTAGGGCCCATATACCTTTTGTTCTACTCTACGACGTGGCCACAACTTTTTTACCTTCATCTTACCTCGAATTCCCTTAGGCTTACTAACTAAATAAGGGCTTGAATGTTTTGTATGTATGATTTGATTATTATATCGATTGCCCTTGGCGGCATTACCTACTTGAAGATATTTACTTAAGTACCCATGAGCTTTAGAATGTGAGATGAATTTCCAAGTACTGACAGACTCTTTGTTAAAACCTATGTAGTATATATAAACTATTCCAACCACATTATCTTGCTTCCATTCCATAACAGACATCCCGTTCGTTACATTCGCACTTCGATTTCTCAAGGGCTGCTTGTAACTCCACCAATCATGGCGGTAAGCAGCTGCTTCCCATCTGCCATCACTACGTCACCTTTCCGATCCAGCCCTCTACAATCCTCACCAACCGCCGTTACGGCCCGAGTTCCTGGATTGCCTAGCCTCCCGAGACTCTTTAGACGCTTTAGAGCGTTTCGAGTCCGCAGATGCAACCGAATGGTACGAGTCAAGGGATTTATGGCAGTTGACGCCACAATCGCCCTCGGCGAGCTTTTTATGATTCTCGTCGTGTTTGGCCACATCCTGCAGAGAGTTGTGTTCTCCTCTCGACGCTCTCGAAGATCTCGTAACCCCATTGAAGTCGCGATTGCCGTTGTTGTAGTTCTGAACATTCTTCCCGTTGCCACTGGCGGTGAAATCCTTGGGACGAGAGTCCCTGGGATAGTAGGTGTTGGGCAAGATGAAATTATCGTTACGACGGTCATTCAGGTCCTTCTCCCGGGAGAGCTTCGAGTCTTTGGACGCCACTGAGCGATACGAAGCTAGAGAATCTTTGCAGCCCGTGCCGCAATCACGGTTGTCCTGCTTGATGAGATTGTCAATGTACTTCACTTTGTCCTCGGGCGTATTGTGTTCATCTCTCGAAGCCCTGGAAGACGGAGACGTGCTCCGGTCATAGTAGTCCCTGCGTTCCCTGGACACCTTGGAGCGGTACGAGTCCAACGAATTATGGCAGTCCGTGCCGCAATTGTTGGCGTCGAGCTTGGCTAGGTTGTCTCGATACTTCCAGTCTTCCTCGGGGGTGACGCCTTGGACTGCAGCTTCACTTCTTGCTTGGATGTGTCGCTCGTCTCTGGCGTGAATAGTAGGCTCCAGGTCAACGTTTTCAAGAGTCAATTCGTCTCTGGCCTTGATTTGAGGGCTGTCGCTGGCCTGAACCTCGGGTTTCAAATCATAGTTGTCCAGCGCAACCTCGTCTCTGGCTTTGATGCGACGTTCGTCTCTGGCTTCAATCTCTGGTTCCAGATCGATATTGTCAAGAGCAGCCTCATCTCTGGCTTGGATGCGAGATGCTTCTCCAGCTTGAGTCTCTGGCTCCAGTCCAAAGGCATCAATTGCTGCATCGTCTCTGGCCAGTATCTCAGGCTCCCGCTCCCAGTCAGAAACATTAATGACTCTGTCGCCGCGGGCCTCAATGTCAGGCTCCGCGTTGATAGCTTCTGGGGCAGCGTCGGCCTTGAAGACATGAACTGGCGGGTGGGTGAGGCTCGGTAGCAACGCAATGGGGACCGCGGTCACGCCGGCCGTGAGTGCGGCTAAGGTGATGGTGGTGAGGAAGCGCATAATGCAGAGTTTGCGGGAAAGAATAGTGTAAACTGAGCGACAAAATGAGTAAGGGGATGTGAAGTATGAAGTGAGAGGGTTAAAAGTCTCTTCATTGACCGGCCAGGGTTCAATCAAATTGGCTTGTGACACGAACAATGGCATATGGGAAGGGAAGACACGACCTTGGCTTTATACTTGTCGGTGGTAGATTCATGTGAGCACCAATTGTTTCAACTCCGCTGAAAGGAGATACGAGTAAGACTTCCCGAGCCTTCTGCCGCATCTCCACATCTCAGTATGGAAATCTCATGATCACTTCCCTCCTCCATCTACGGTCCTCGGAAGATGATGAAAAATTGCTTAGAGAAGTTAGCGTAATCGTTGAGTCAATTTTTGAGGTTGTTGGCGCCGAGCTTAGGATCAAGCTAAGTTGTTGAATTCAACTTTTGACTTTTTAACGGCAAGATGGAGAGCAGGAGAGTGCCGCGTATTCGATTGCAAGGATTGAAAGGTGCCAGGATGAGTATCCGGTTGAGCCCGATCTGGATGTATCCTGAAGACTGGGGTTAAGGGTCACCCAGGAACCAACTTGGTTATCGCCAGAAAGCAAGCTTCGGGTACGCGCAAGCGTCGTGTGTAATTAGAGCCGACCTGAATGCTGCGCATAACAGCAACAAGCTTACTTGATGGTAGAGCTGAGGGCAGGATTTGGTTCTTTCCCCTCTTCTTCGTGGTGGAGTCGAAGTCAAATCGTGCAGTTTTCGGACAGAGTCAGTCGAATTGAGAAGATATCTACGCAAGCAAGGAAGCGTAGTGCGAAGCTTAAAACTTGTCATTCGGGTTGCTCCTTGATTGGTACTCTTCTCCCGGCCCACTAGACCTAACAGAACAAATTATGTTCGGCATGGACTAAACATTGGTTTCCCAAAACAAAGTTCAGGACTTTCGCCGACATTTCCGACGCCATTGGGAGTGTGTCAGGTATCTTACCTTAGACGAAGAGATCAACCGTCAACTTCTCGATTCGGGTTGAAAACTATGCAACTTCTATGGGATGCAAAGACGAGCGTAAAAGGGGGGAAGAAAGACTTGTACGTAAACGCGTCCGCGCTTTACCAGCTTTTCAATTGATCCGAAGTGGGCTGTTTCATATTGTACGTCGTTCATCAATGATATTCCCATGTTGTTGAGTTGACATCTGAACCAGGGTTCCGGGATGGTGCAACCTCTGTAGATCGTGTCCCAGCACGGCAAAAGCTTCCTACCCGTGGGGTTGGTGGTGGCCCGTGTGGCAGGCAGCCTTAATGGTTGGCCTGTTGCTAGTGGCCGCAGAGCCTCGATGGCCGAGAAGGCTGCAAAGCTCTTTTTCCTCTGAATCCAAGCAACACATTCTCGAATTCAAGCACGTGCTATGCGGCTCTGGTCAAAGGTTCTGGTCAAAGGTTCTGGTTGATAGTTTTCCTCAGCTGACCAGGTCTTCGCAAGCATGATCTCCTTTGGTTGACCAGAAGGGGGTTACGCGATAGTCTAGCCGCAAGTGCACGAGCGTGCGAAGGAGCCAATCTGTCCTAAGGGAGCTGCCCGGGATGATAGCTCCAGGGTGGACGAGCTTGCCCAGGGCGCCAGGACCGGATCGTGTCGATCATACCTGCCCCCCATCCCCCCTCCCCAGTGCTCACGGACATTGGGATGGGACGTCCGGGCCAAGCATCCTCGAAAGCGTAGGTAGATGGTCGTGATGGACCGGACAGGGTTGGAGCGCCAGATCCTTCTTCGGACGGTCTCGACTCTCGCCAGCTAGCTACCCCGCGTTGCCCCTCTTCCCAAGGTAGAAGAAAGCTGAAGAAGGTTCAGCCGACAACATAGAGAAGTCGAGGATCAGTTCGGGATGCCGGTGAAAACTTGGTCGCCGAAGACGGGTAGTCCAACTTCGCGTCGCTTTCGTGGCCTCTGGGAAACCTGCATACGATATGGGCAGATTTTTTTGGAGCAAAAAGAGCAGTCCGTCATAAGATCCGACTGGAGGAAGACGACGATCAAAGGCAGGCTGCGGATCGCGGCAGTTCGGAGAATAAAATCCGCTAAAGCGTTGAGGGGTAGTACACAGACAAAACCTTAATCTAATGGTGTGCTATCGACAAGGGAAGCCTTAGACGCGTGTACAATCAACGGTCCTTACTCACTGTCAAGTTGTGGTCGGTGGACCTGACTAGCCAGGGATGGCGGCGGCATATGTGGACATGGGATGCAGTTGCATTGCAGACATCTCCCGACAACGAGCATGCACTATGCCATGAAGAGGCTGCCAAGAGGCATTCTCAAATCGCCAAGATGATGTTCTTAACGCCAAGTTGCTTGGCCTAAAGAGCAACGCGTAGGTAGTTGAAGGACTACAAAAGCAAAAGCTCAGCTCTTCCTACTAGTCTGCTTTTCCTCGACACAGGAGTCATCAGCCATCACTGTTTTCTTCTAGTGTAGCCGGCTGACCGCACCCTACAATAAACTTCTACGGCCTTACTCAGCGTAGAGAAGATCGTCTTAACATCAGTTGCAAACAGCCTTACATTGCCAGCCCGCTGGCTCCCAAACTTTGTCCTCGATCGATCAAAGCTAGATGTTTCGCGCTCTGAACGTTACTCATTTCCGACTCCAAAGGCCCGATATTCTCGACCAACATCTCGGGCGCTAGCCGGCGGGCGCTCGACAAAAAAATAGAGTGTTTCCAAACAACCCAGCCCTTGAATGGAAGCATATGCGAGATATCGCGAGTCGGTAACGAAATGCACTCTAGCGCCGACCTCTATCGCCAGCAGCAGAAAACTCCGAACGCCGACCTTCTTTTCATCCCATATTTTTTGCGGCCATGGAAGCTGTCCTGGCTGTCATGGGGTCAAAGTGATTACGCAGCCGTCTGGCCAAACCCCTCATGCTCGTCTATGCCTCGGGCTAGGCAATTGGGATCTTTCTCCAGCTCGGGCTCGCTCGCCGCAATCATCTAGCCCCCACCACACCCAGCCCGTTTTCAGTCTGACTTCAGCTCGGTTACCTGTGGTCTCGGTGCAGATGTGGCATGGAACCTCTGAAACTTTCCGTAGAAGCTGCTAGGAACAAGTCAATGCCATTGGAAACAGGTTTCTATTCAACCTTGACCAGGAGAAGGCTACTTCTGGACAAGGAAGACTCCCGGAATCGAAAGTTCAGCTCTCACGAGGTAGAGTGTTCGCGAGGCGCCTGATTACTGACTCATAGTGTGTGTAGTAAGGTGTCACGTGCTTGCTACCAAGGATCCAAGAAACAAGCGCTCGCGAAAACTTCGGAAACAATGAGAAGCTAGAGGTAAGTCATTCAACCATCGCCCGAGGTAGTAAAAATGAGAGACATCTTCAACGATAAGCTAAAGTTGAGTCTCGGCCGAAGAAATCTTGCTGAGCCAAAAGTAACATCACAGAGCCATCAAGGGGAGATTGATTCACCTACCAGTTACCCAGATCAGACGTAACATATGTAATACACTAGAAGCAAAAATTGAAGAAAAAGAAGATGATCTCACGCCAAGGCGGGGTTTAACCGCTTTTACTCCCCGAGGTGGGCTCGAACCACCAACCTCCAGATTAACAGTCTGACGCGCTAGCCAATTGTGCCATCGGGGATTTGAGATGTGATTGGATACTTTCTCCTACTCAGTAGAGGACCCTAGTACCATCTGTTTTTGCCCCGCAGCGCTGGTCCCCGCCAAAACTGCCACGGACTGCCTAGGACTGTTGCCCAAACAGCCTTGGTATTCGAGTGTTGCGGGAAATCTCATGATTGAGGCAGCTGTCACCGCTGATGCTGAGATGAAGCTTTTGATACTAATAGCTTATGACTTGTACCAATTGAGTTCCCGGAAAGACAATCTGATCATCAAAGTTAATGTCCAGGTCAAGCTCCAAGGTGTCACGGTCCAAGCAACTCAAATGTCCCCTGTGGAATTCCAGTCCTAGACTCGGATGTCAAATTCGTCCCACGAGAACGAACTCACAATGATTGAAAAGTTCCATGCATACAGTGACGAACTCTGCATAACTTAGAGAGTTGGAAGCAAGGCGGAGGCGAAGTTGGACGCCCTGCCGAATACATATCGGCAGTCATCGACCCATCGGGCCGAAATGTTGTCACCATGATCTCGCCTTGGTGCCCTATGCCTTCAGCCTCTTTGACAGTGTTGGTGTTTATGATGATAGATACTCCGACTTTCAGGACTGCAAACGACAACCTACTGTAACAGGTTTGCACCTGGATTTCACTCCCGCAGATTGACGACGAGAACCTCTACATCTGCCAAGACCTTTGGTGCAGCTACGCCATCAATTTTCCACCACTGGCATCAGTTCCCCTCATGCCACGCCGAACCCCGCGTAGGTCACTACGCATCACGTCCTCGGGTTAAGATCGTCCGCAAGCGATCATTCAAATTACCCTTCAAGACTGTGTGAACACCCTTTCCATCAGACTCAATTTTTTTTAACCAATTCTCCCATTCCTTCTCTTCTCTATCCCCCAAAGATGTCACTCTCCGACCACGCGCAAAAGCTCACCAACACTCTCGAGCAAGCCAAGCTCGTCCCGGGCTCGGAGGCGGCGCTGATACCGGAGGGCTTCCGACCCACGACCAAGCTCGAGGTCTCGTTCGCGGGTAAGGTTGTCGACGCGGGCAACTTCTTCCGCGCGGGCGAGTGCAAGCTCGCGCCCAGCATCTCCTTCGCGGCCGAGGAGGAGTCGGAGGCGTCGCCCGGCGCATCGTACACGCTCTTCCTGACGGACCCGGACGCGCCTACACCGGACAACCCGCAGTTTGCCTTTTGGCGCCACTGGGTTCTCCCCGGGCTGCAGCCGCTCAGCGGAGGTGCGGTTGTCGGGCAGACGAAGCCGGCTTTGACGGAGTTTCTCGGGCCTGGGCCCAAGGATGAGTGAGCGTTATTTCCCCCTTCTCCCATCCTCACACCACAATCAGCGTCTCGGTGGCTTGGAAGGCCTGCTCAACGTAACCTGTTTGCGTAGGTTTTGCTGACTCTGCTGTCATTCCTAGCTCAAAGCCGCACAGGTACCTCTTCTTGCTCTACCGGGAACCTCAGGGTCTGGATCTCAAGAAGGAGGACGTCGGCGGGGAGGAGTTTGTGCAGAGACGGTCATGGAAACCTGCTGAGTTTGCCGAGAAGCATGGGTTGAAGCTCGTCGGAGTGAACTGGATGACTTGCGCTGGCGATGGTTGGACGGAGTGAGGCACGATGCCTGTAAGTCTGGCAGATGCAGCTGGGCACGCAGCACCAAGGCTTTGCGAGCCATTACAGGGTCACTGGAAGAAAACGCGATTCTTCAAGCCTCCCAAGTCGGGATTCCTCAAGACCGGTTGCTCGAATGGTAGACAACGGGTCTTGCAGATGGCTTAGGAGAGCAGCAGCGAGCTTCGATGAACGGCAAGATTCGGCCGCATCGTCGTCAAGAATCATCGTGAAGCTGGTCCTATAGTCTAGTTGGTTAGGACGTCGGATTCTGATCAAGACATTATTAGATCCTTCCGTAAGCCCAGGTTCGAATCCTGGTAGGACCTTTGTGGTTGGCCGTCTAGTCTCACTTCTTTTTTTGCGAGTGAAAAGTCCGGTCTGAGTTATGTCCTAATAATGTGCTGGAAGTGCACAGGTTCAATGCAACATCATTTACCGTCTCTGTCGTCCAAGAACCCCTAACCAATTGACTCAGTTTATGCGTGGACGTTGCAGTGGTCTGTGCCTGGACCATGGGGCTCCAGGGGCCGTCAGGGGCCTTCTGCGATCTTGATTCTAGCGGTCGCGTCCCTAAATCGACGCTAGTCATTTGAGAAGTTTGCACCCGCCAACAGCGAGTTTTTGACCCAAGTTGAACTTTAGATTACTTTACTCCAAGACGCGTCCCGTCGCGTCTCCCAAACTTGACATCGCAATGATACAGCGCCGTCTAGTCCGCCGACAAAGCTCGCTCGCAGCAGCCAAGAGAATCCTCGCTCAAGCTGACAGCGAGCCAGATGTCGAGATCAAAAAGCCGGCGTCCAGACCGCGTTTGGCAGCCACTAGAAACAAGTCTACGCCACCTTCACCATCAGCATCGAAAGACGCGTCAGAAGAAGACTTTAGCCCACCAATCCAAGACGACAACGACGATGATGTAAAGGACATCGCGGAACCGCCGCCAAAAAGGCGCAGGATCGAGAAGAACCCCAAAACCCGAAAAGCCGACACCGCAAGACTCCATGCGAGCCTCTTTGGCCCACCGCAGCAGCAGCAGCAGCAGGTGACGCATGATCCCTGCTGCTCGCCCGCCGCATCAAGAACGCACGCCACCTCGTACCACCGCCCTCTCCTCCTAGACGGCCAGCCTGGCCGGCGCGGACGCGACGCCCTCCTCGGCTGGTTCGACTCCATCAGCACCACCCGCGGCATGCCCTGGCGCAAACCCTGGATCGACCCGAAAGAGAGCTGGCCAGACGATGACACCGCCGCCGCTAATCTCCGCTGCGCCCTCGAGAAGCGCGCCTACGAGGTCTGGATCAGCGAAATCATGCTACAGCAGACCCGTGTCGCCGTGGTAATCGACTACTGGAACAGGTGGATGGCCCGCTGGCCCACGATCCAGGACCTCGCGGCTGCCGAGCCAGAAGACGTGCTGAGCGCCTGGCGCGGTCTGGGCTACTACAGCCGCGCCACGAGGATCCACGAGGCGGCGAAGCTGGTCGTCGCGGACCCGGACTGGCGGGGGCTGATGCCCTCCGACACGGCCGAGCTCGAGGCAAAAGTCCCCGGCGTGGGGCGGTACACGGCCGGCGCCGTCGCTGCCATTGTGTTTGGCGAGGCAGCGCCCATGGTCGATGGGAATGTGCTCCGCGTGCTGAGCAGGCAGCTGGGCCTGTACGGGAATGCAAAGACGGATAAGGCCGTCATTGACCTGCTCTGGGCCGCCGCGGACGCCCTCGTCAAAGCGGTCGCAAAGGACGGCCCCGGCGAGGACGGTACAGAGCTTCCTGGCAAAGCGCCGCTGAGCGATCGGCCAGGACGATGGGGCCAGGCCCTGATGGAACTCGGGAGCACAGTCTGCACGCCGAAGCCGAACTGCGGTGAGTGCCCCGTCACATCCACGTGTCGGGCATTCGCAGAGGGCCTGCAGATAGCGGCCTCCAAATCAAAGAAGACGGCGCAAAAGATCAAGGATATCGAGGACCTGTGTTCGATATGCGAGCCCTTTGAAGAAGGAAACGTAGAGGAGACCGCGCTTTCGGGAGAAGATTCGGACGCCGACGCGCCGAAACCTGCAAAGGGGGCCAAGAAGGGCGCAAAGACGCGACCGGGGCCAAAGCAGGCGACCTTATCCGCCTTCTTCACCTCAAAGACGGCAAAGAAGAAGGACGAGGAGGCGGAGGAGCCCTCCCTGACGGCAAAGCCCAAGGTTGCCCACCACGACGCGCGAACGCTAGAAATCGTCGCTGAGCACGCCCGTAAATTCCCGCTTAAGGTGGTCAAGAAGGCGGTCAGGGAGGAAGAAGCCCTCGTATGCGCGGTCCGGCGCGGTAGCGACCGCCGGTTCCTGATTCACCGACGCCCGGAGAAGGGACTCCTGGCCGGGTTGTGGGAGCTGCCCAGCCACACGCTGCCGCCTGCTGGCGCGGCGACCGCCGGCAGCGGCAATAGTAACACGGCGACTTCGCGGAAGAAGGATGCTCAGGGGTACGTCTCGGGACTCATCAGCGGCGGCGGCGGAGACAAGAAGAAGTTGAAGCTGAGATATGCCGGGGAACTTGGCAGCGTGCCGTGGCTGTTTTCTCATCTGAAGCTTACCATGCATGTGTACCTCTTCGAGGTGGACGGGTCCGAGGACCTAGTCTCGTCGCATGCGCGGCATCGCTGGGCTACGGCTGAAGAGGTTGATGAGGAGTCTATGGGGACTGGGATGCGCAAGTGCTGGGCTTTGGTGAGGGAGAGAAACGAGGAGTCTCTCTCTTCTTGATAGACCAGTCATTGGATTGTAACTAAAACCTGGACTAGCTCGATTACCAAAGACTCATCCGGCTCTGACTGGAAATGTCAGGGGAGTTCACCGGAATACCAATCAAAGATAGAAGACACTGATTCCTCTCATGATATTTAGAGCCTTGCATGGAATTATGCATGTCGGCGCCCGAGAATTGGTCAGGTTTTCACTCCGACCATCCGTCCTCATTGAAGCAACTTCAAGCACAAGCATAAGAGCGCGCGGACAGCTCCGCATGATGTAGGTAATCAGGAAAGAGTACGTCTTTCTGTGTTCATTATAGCTCTGTTAACTACTTGTTCAGAAGAGATATCACTGAGATTTATCATCTGGCGTGTCGTTCCTCCTTCCAGCTCGAATTTGAAGCATCAATGATTGAAGATATTAATACCGCGACAGCCACCACAGGAAGATGACGGTGAGATGGCGTTGCTATTACCAGCCAGTAGTCACTACTGCGGCCTAAGTTTCCTCGAGGACTCCAACGAGACACTTGCCATCTCACAAGCGGGCGACGACGTCTCCCTGCACCGCAGACTCGGTGAACCCGGGAAACCCTGCCGAGGCCTCCTCATCAGCCCACTTTAGATATGGACGCAGGCCGGCAAAGTAGAAGTTGGTGTTCGTCTTCTTCCCGGGAATGTTCTGGCCCAGAATCCAGCTTGGAGTTTTGGCGAACAATGACCCTTTCAACATGCTGTTGCACAGCTCCACCCAATCCGCCTCGGCTTCCTCCTTTGCCTCCATGATTGCACGCCTACGTGGACTTTGAATCGGTCCGTCGCCCAGCTTGCCAGCCTCGTCATCTTTTTCTGATTTTGTCTGTTGGACAACGCCCTCGGCATGCTGTATCACCGACATGATGAAGTTAACTTCGCACTCCACGACTGGAGGGAAATTGGCAAAGGGGCTCTGCGGTCCAGAAATGAGAAACATGTTGGGGAACCCGGCGCAAGTGACGGCACCGTAGGCTCTGCTACCGTCACTCCAGTGGTCTTTCAGTGTCCTGCCGTTCCGGCCAGTCACCCCGCCGCGGATTCTCGTGTAGCTGCCGTCGACTGCCTCGAAACCCGTGGCGAAGATAAGGACGTCGACGTCGTGGACGGTGCCGTCGGCCAGCTCAACGCCTTGGGGGACTAGACGAATGATGGCGTTGGCCTGGAGGTCAACAATGTCGACGTTGTCGCGGTTGAAGATTTGGTAGTATCCAAAGTCGCAGAGCGGGCGTCGGGCGTACAGTTCCTGGGGCTTCAAGATGTGCGCCTTGCGAGGGTCCGTGACGATCTCGTCGATTTTGCCGCGTATAAAGTCGCAGGCAGCATTGTTGGCCTCCTCGTCGGTGACTAAATCGCGAAGGGCACTAAACATGAAGCGGAACCCGTTGCCCCGAGACCACACCTCCTCAAAGGCCTGCTTTCTCTCTTCGGGCGTTGCGTCCATCGTCTTGCGAGTTGACTCCGGGACTCCGAATCCGACAGACGACGACCAGACGTTGTCCCAGATCTTGTCATAGTCTGCGTTGATTTTTTGCCGGTAGCTAGGGTCCACTGGTCCTTGTCCACTGGGCACCGAGTATTGTGCGCGTCGTTGGAATAGAGTCAGTTTTCCGACGATGGGCGCAATTGCCGTCATAACTTGGACACCGGTGGAACCGCTGCCGATGATGCCAACCTTCTTTCCCTTTAGCTCAATGTTGTTATCCCACTTTGCTGTGTGACATGTGATGCCGTCGTAACTTCTCAGGCCAGGTATGTCTGGATAATTCGCCTTGGACAGGACCCCTAGAGAGTTGACGAGGTATCGAGCGTGGTAGACGGTCCCTGTGGAGTTGATTCCCGTGGAGGAGCACTCAACCCGCCAGCGCTCTAGGGTTTCGTCCCACGACGCCGACTGCATTTCGCAGTTGAACAACATGTACTTTCGCAAATCATGCTTCTCTACAACGTGCTGCAGGTACCTTAGGATCTCGGGCTGGTAGACGTAGTGTTGCGACCAAGGGTACGTCTTCAGGTCGTCCTTGTCCCAGGAGTATCGATACAGGTAGCTTTCTGTGTCACTCATGGCACCAGGATACCTGTTCCAGTACCATGTTCCCCCGACATCGCCAGCCATGTCAATGGTTTGGACTTTCATCCGCGGTTGCATACGGCTTAGGCGGTATGTTGCGTAGATACCGCCAAAACCAGCTCCTACGACGAGGGCATCGACTTCAATGGGTGTTGTCATTTTGCCGAATGTCTTGTATGAGGTGATGTCGTGGTCTCGTTCCTTTTTAACTCGGAACGGCGAGGCCGTAGTAGCAGAATCAGCAGAGTTGTCGACAACCTATTTCTCTAGATGATGGACAGGGTGGGGTTTATGACTGCCTTGGAAGTCGTCTTCCGTAGGCCAAGAAGCAGTCATCAGATACATGCATCACTTGATGATTAAGTAGTGGGATAAATGTAACCACATACCCCCGCAAGTGCAGAAACGTCGAGTGAGCGCGAGAATGATCTTCATGTGGAAGATGCAATCGTAGACCTACAGCGAATCGCAGTCCACGCCAAAATCTTGTTTAGAGAACGACACGAACCACTTTCCGCATTAAGTAGTCTACCATGGTTGAGCAAGACATTTTGTGCCAGTCACCGAGGCAATCGATATCTCGTGTTTGACAGCCAAGTCGCCGGTGGGTCTGGAAGTTTCCAAGTTAAGCCGCGTACAGCGCGCGGGGTAGCCGACGTGCTGCAATCCGAAATGTAGGAGATGATTTTCGCAATAATACATCAACAGTTTAAAGGAAAACTTTCGCGCTGCCTTTACTCAGCCAAGTTGCAGGCAGGGTAAACTGAAGGGTTCCTCTCTGTGATATCGACACATTTGCTCCCGAGCATCCGTATATGTGGATGAGTTTTACATTGGCTGAGGGTCGCGCGCGTGGACCCAGTCACATCCGTTTAATGAGAAGTTTGCGAGGAGTGTGATGAGCCACGGTGGAATATCCCTATGCGAGTGGTAGCAGGGCCTCTGGGCGAAGCGAAAGAAAAAGGAAGCCAACTCAGGATCTAACAAACGTGACTATGACCCAACAGCGCATACGAGGTTGGCCTCGAGGCGGAAATATCAACGTCATGAATATGCATAAAGGAAACGACGTATTGGTAATGAGCACCCATAATAAAAACGAGGTAAATGCAAACGATGCATACTGGTTGATGACATAGACGCAAACCAAAACCTTGCACTAGAAACACATAAAGTACCTAGTCATCACAAAGTACCTGGTCATAATGATAACAATGATGAGTCTTCAGCCCTAAGATTTTTCATCGCCAGCCGCCGTTACCTGTTACTACTATCTACTTTTATATCCTCTGTTTTTGTCAACTATGTTAACCGGGGCGAGTGAAAACGGTCCTCGTAGATTTTGAGCGTTATGACCATCGACCTCATTTTGTTTCTATCTGCCTGGCTGGCACAGGGACGGTCCAAAAGTGACCCTCTGGTGAGTCTTCCATTCCTTTGAGGATACTTGGGAATTTCAAAGGGGAAGAGCGAGTTTGCTGCGGTAAAGGGGCATGTCTACTACATCCAGAGGTACATGGAGTAAAGTCATCTGGGCAAAATTGGAGCGTACGACACGGCTTAACTTTGGCACAGTTCAAAGATAGCGTCTTCCGTGTAAGTAAGCTAAACAGTACTTTCACAACACGATACGAGATCAAAGTTATGATAGCCAATCTTCTTTGTAACTATGATATCAAGCTCCCCGATGACGTTACAGAATGGTGTAAATCGGTCAGATTTGGGACATTTGTAAGATGTGGAACCAAGCTCCAAAGGCTTCAGATTCACCAATGAAATAACAGTGTGTACCGGATCCCAGTAAGACCGTAATGGTCAGGGAGTCGCAAAACTGCGGCAAGTTGAATGCGGTCCAATAATTGTGGTGCTATGCTCATTTGTTGAAATAATCCAAGGTATATCAAGATCCTGAATGAAATGAACAGATCACGTGTGCATAGTTCAACTTCATAGAAGAGTTGGGCAAGATGTAGTAGCAGCCTCGAGAGTTTTTACCTACGGTAGTTGATACTTGATAATCTTGCGATTGATCATCCGAGGTCTCTCCTGCCCAACTCAGAGAGAAGCTTGGTGCCCAACGAGTTCTTCACTCTCCAAGACGTTTGTAAATGCTCAGGGCCTGTTCTACTAGACTACTGCCGGTCAGCCGGGTAAACCCCCTGCCCCGAAAAAGGCCCACACCCCAACCCGCCGGGGCCCGGGTCGCCCGGAAGGGCTCCATGTTCTGACGATGGGTCCCCTTGGTGTTGAATGTGGATACGCCCGCGTCGTGCCCTCACCGCACGCACAACCTGGGATGCTTGAGCTTCCGTCCACAGCCAGAATTTTCATCAACCGCATCAATTGCCCGGCTAGCTCAATCGGTAGAGCGTGAGACTCTTAATCTCAAGGTTGTGGGTTCGACCCGTAAGCATCATAAGCCCGTGCAAGTTATCGAAGAACGTATAGCTAACTTAAACCAGCCACGTCGGGCTCAATTCCCGTCAGCGATTGAACTAGCAATCATATCTTTTTGCTAATTCCCATGTCAAAATCTGCTGCATTCAAAGCAAAGGCAGTTAGAATTTTGCAATGACAGCCAGCTCAAATACTCATTGTGAGCCTCGTTGATTTTTCTGACGAGTTGATCCCCCATCACCAAAAATCACTGGGTCGTCCCCTTCTGCTCCTGGCTTCATCGTGAACGGCTTCAATGAGACCCAGTTCCTCGAAAGAGCTGTCCACACACTTACCCATTATAGCTACAGGGTTCCCCTCCGTCGCGCAAGTCTTGCACAGCCCAGCCCAGCTCAGGCAAAGTGTGCCACGCGACTATTTCCCCAAAAGCCCAAGCATCTTGGCGGGACTTGGCATCGCGGCCTTTGACGCTCCGGTTTCTTGCAGGAAAAGTGGGAGCTGTCTTTTGCTTATACAGCTCCCCCGCCAAGGAACGATCGCCACAAGGTTGTAGTATCCCGGGTTGAGCCTGAATGCCATGCTTATTCGCGAGGCAGGGTGGTGCCGGGGTCGATCGGTCGTTCATAATGGCGGTGGCGTACCTCCTTGGCGGGAATGTATTATGTTGAAGGATATCAATACTTGATTCGGCGTTTTTCACAGTGAGGAAAGTGTCTGCCTAGGCCATCCGAGTCGTTCTGTCTTTGCTAAAATCGCCATGGGGCTATTTTTGCCTACACGGCTTTGGAGTTGCTTCTTGGTGATTGCCACGGCTATTGTTCCATCAACGACTCTCAACACCAATGATGACCTTCAATGCTCTTGGAACGCTTCTAATTCACTCACCTCCATCATAGTAGAAGATCAATGTACCTTGGCAAGCAGCTCTGAGAGAGCTGCTCAAGCCAATGCGTGGCATCCATGGACGCAGAAACCCGTATGTGTCGGCTCGAAGACGACAAAGACCTCACAGCACTGCGCTTTCGTCAAAGAGGACTTTCAAGGAAGCAAGAGTCTTCTCATCGTCACAAATCCAGAGGTCGTAGCCGGTGATGTCAGTCTCGTCGAGGATCTTGACTCGCAATGGACCAGCATTCGACCTCCCCTCGGGCCGACCGAGCTGCCGCCCTTCAACGTCGATACAATACCGGGCAAAGGGCTGGGGGCTGTGGCAAACACGAGCATCCGCTCGGGAGACATCGTCTTGAGGGAACACCCTGTCATCCTGCAGTTGGCGGAAGTGTCTCGGTCGATTGGTCGGATGCAAGCTCTCTGGGTGTTGGAGGAAGGCTTCATTCGGCTGCCGAGGGAGGATCAGGAGAGAGTGTTCAATCTCTCTAGAAGTACCGGGGGTCACATCCTAGAAGACATCATCCGCACAAACACGTTTGGCGCAACTCTCAACAAAGTTGCCCATTTTGGACTGTTTCCAAATGTTGCGGTGGGTGGATCCTTTGCCGTCTTTTTTGCAGCATCACTGACAATAAGCAGAGAATCAATCATGCCTGTAAGCCTAAGTAAGGCCTCATTACTATGTGAACCCAAATCAGGATAGAGATAGGGTGCTTACTTGAAGCTAGTGCAATTACTCGCTTCTCGCCCCGGACGTTGGAGCTACAAGTTGTGGCGTACAAAGACATAATGCCGGGCGAGGAACTAAGCATCAGTTGTCAGAACCCTGAATCCCTCCCACCTTACCATCTGAATCCGACTGATGCCAGGAACAGATTCGATGCTGAACATGCTCTACCAAGACCGGCAACAAGCCCTCCAGGAATGGGGCTTCAACTGCAACTGCGCGATATGCAGCTCCTCTCCCGAAGTGCTAGCCATCTCAGACGGCCACCGCAGACGACTACAAGAGATCCTCTCGGAGCTCGAGGACCCGGTCCTCGCTGGCTCGCCATCTCTGGTAGCGGAGCTGGTCGATGAGCTGGAGGACGTCATAGTAATAGAAGGGCTCACAGCGCAGGCAGGCGAGTTCTACGACGTCGTTGCTCGGGCGTACGGCGCGATGGGGGAGATGGGAAAGGGAAGGATGTACGCAGAGTTGGCGTTGGAGAAGCTGGTGCGGTTTGCGGGGTACGACGACGAGAGGACGGCGAAGGCGAGGGCAGTCCTTTTGGAGTTTGGGGGGCAGCCCGGCACGGGGTAAAGGATCGCGTTGGGGAAAGTTGGGGGCGGCGCGGTCGCAGCAATGAACGTGTTCACAGATCTAGGGGGTATAAGTGGTCTAGTGTGTGCCCTTTGGAACCGGGGGTGGCATATTCCTCATTCGGAGGGGGTGATTCGGTTATTTCACCCCCGTCATGGTAGGGAACGACATATGACACTTTACCTGGTTTGGGGAAGCGAGCATGTTGACAGGTTGCGGAGAATTTCGTGGTGGAGGAGGATTACACCGGCGCGCGGTTGCTTGACAACCTTGGGCCGGCTATGCGGCACCTGTTGATGGTGGTCACGGCCGGGGTAATGGTTCATGTCAGATTCGATTAGGTTGCGGGAGGATGTGACCGCTGCTGCATCCCACGGGCATTTTGTTTTCAGATAGGAAGCGAGATATCATATGTCGATGCGGGTCGCAGGAGTTGAGGCTCTGGCTGGAGCCCATCTTGGCGATGCCAAGTAGCTTGGAACGACGTTTGCCAAGGTTTCTCGGCGTTCTTTTGTAAACGTCGACTTGCACCCAAGGTTCAAAGGAACACCATTTGATGGTTTTGTGACAGCAAACCACAACGAGTCACTTGAAGAAAGAAGCACAGAGTAACCTGATGGAAACGCACGGATATTTGTGTGTTGCGGATCAAAGACCTTGGTAGACTTGCTGATAGTCAATGAGAACTGTCCGCCAAACATCATAGATAGCACTGACTTGACGGCTCTAATTTTGTGACTGACAATGCTATTGTTTGCAAGTTTGAAACAAACATTTGTATAGTGTTCGTCGCGAGTCACATTATGGCAAGGTATTTAAGCAGCGAGCGAATCGAGCAGTTCGGATACGACATACGCACTGGCTAGCTTCAAATTCCAATCACACAGTAGCAGCCAGAAAGCCCAAGGAAGCCAAGAGACGGAGAAAAGATTGCCAGCCATGTGTATCCAGTGGATCGCCTCCGCAAACTGCACCGGCGCCGTGGGCGGAGATATGCCGCACAAGGGGTGCAAGGGCGCCCACGTCGCGGTGGTGCGCCGTGAGGTCTGCCCCTCGGCCCGCGAGCAGTGTGTGTGCTTCTTCGGCTCGTGCGGGAACATACTCACGCTGTCCGCCCGGGACCAGGCCACGGTCTGCGCGCCGTGTGAGGTCTGCGGCGCTGACGAGGACCCGGAGCAGATGATGCTGCTGAGAGTTTTTGACGATGCCTTCGCCGCCGAGTGGGTTATCGCCTTTGGGGAGAGCCACTACGAAAAGTGCACCGAGGGGCAATGGAGGGGTCGTTGGGCAGAGGATGAGTAAGATGAGACCTCGTCGGTCGTGGTGAGTAATTACAGATTCGCAGAGGCATGAAGGACGAAGGAGGAAGAGACTTCGTGCCAAGGATGGATTGTTACATGGGCACGGAGAACCCCCCACGAAAGGATCTGAATCGGAGAGCATACAAATCAGGTTTCTGGGACCGTTGGGCGCCGCTAGTACGATTGTGACCGTCGATCCAACGGGCTCGCTCTCTGTTCTGTCTCCGAAGCCGGTGAGTTTGAGGAGAGATCTTCACCACAGGAATTTGTCAGGTCTAGGTTCTGACCAACACAAGTCAAAAAGAAAATGAAAATGAAAACAATGTGCCTACCTGCGCGGAGCGTGGAACAATCGTATGAGGTCTAAATTACCACTCGAGAAATCCCCGCAAATCCGTGCACTACATGTGCCTGGTCCTGGGTGGCTGGGAGATGCCTGTTGGACAGCCCTCCGCTTTCCTTCGCCATGTGACGGGTCGTACTCCGCCCGCGGCGGCGGTGACAAGAAGCTCCGTGTCGTTGAGAAATATGCCATTTAAGAACAAGGTGTGCGTCTGTGTCCTGATGCTTGTTGGTGTGTGTGGAAGCGTCAGGACTCGCGCGAGCTGCAAGTTGAGCGCTTAGATATTCCTACTCCAGTTTTCCCCATACCGTCCCCATGGAAGGAAGCTTTCTCTGTGGGGACCTTGGGGTTGAAAGAAGCCCATGATCCATCAGTGGACCTGGGGTTGCGCGTTGCTCGACGGGGGGGTAGGCGGGGGGTTAGACGGGGCAGGGAAACTTGGAATCTGGCCGAGATACCCTGGCGCTGTCGCCGGATCTCTCCAAAGCTCACGAATCAATAGGCGTATCAAGGTATCACGGCGCAAATTGTCGTCCTTTTGGTTGGCCGAGGACGGGTATGTAAGCTTATTCTATGGGGTCAAAGTCACGACGAGATCCATCATGTTTGGCTAAAGTGAGGGGGGAAAGGCGAAGCAGAAAAGATGGGCACCGAGCCGAGGGAGATGAGAGAGAAAGAGAGCGGGAAAGGGGAAAGGGTCGGCGGTCGAGCCCCGATGGGCCTGACCATGTCGGGGGTAGCTGTTCTTCTACTGCATTGGCTGCTCTGGCTCTGCATCGTTCATCAATCCAAAAGAAAAACGGAGCAGACCGGGGTGCGATGACTCGATTCCAAGGTGGTCTCGCGGGCGTTTACCGTCTTACCCTCACGGAAGATGGCCGAGCGGCAGTTGGTGGCCCCGTCGACTTAAGCCCGAAACAGTTCCGTTGGGATCCACCGGCCGGCGGCGAGCTGCGACCTTGCGGAGTGCGGTCATGTAGGGTATCCAGTGTTTTCTACGCGTAAGGCAGCTCGTGTAAGCCAGCGGAGAGGCGGCGAAACAAGCACTTTGAGGTATGGAGATGGCGGATGGGGACTCTTGCGTGTTTTTTGTTGGGTTCCACGCGCGCAAACGGCACTTTGACACGGATCATGGGCTGAAGACGGGGCTTTTGCGAGTGGTTTGTCTTGGATTCCTCTTCCCAAGTCATCCACCCCCCATCCTCTTCCCCCTCCTGCTCCTGCTCCTTCTTCTCCTCTTCCTCCTCCTCCATAGGCTCCATAGGCTCCAGTCTACCTGCTCCTTGCGCTCCTCCTGAAGCTGCTGCTTTGGTCAGCAAACACTAGCAAGCATCGGCCCTCGGCGAGTCATATCCCAGCCAATTTTTCTTGATAATTGTGGGAGGTTGATAATGCCAGAACGGCGCGTTGCGGGGAAAGGGCTGTTCATCTGGACTATCTCATCTTCTCCAAACCCCCAGGCGCGGAGAATGCGGAGCCAGCTCCTATATCAGCCAGGGGTTGCACAATAGCGCGCGAACTCACGCGGCATTCACACAGACAACACTGGCACACTCTCGCTCATACTCACCTCTAGGAAACGCGAGCAGTCAGTCGGACCGCAAGTTTGGATGCCGTTCGGTATTACCATGTCCTAAGTAGGTAAACAAACCCTGCCGCCAGGCCCGACTTGGCCTGCGCTTCGGGATCTTACAATCACTTGGCAAAGCCCAGACCCGCGGGGACAAATCGCGTCACTTGGCGCTGGGTGATCGACCTTGGTGAAAAGTCTTGGTCCCAATCCAGCGACGCGGTACCGCAGCCTGCCGGCGCAAACTAGACTGGAGGCGTGTTTCTTGTCCTGACCACCACCACGCAACGTCGCGCATGACATGTTCGCTCCTGACAAATGACACGGCAGCATACGAAAACTTGTTGCATGGAAGTGTATGTAGGTGTGTTGCATTACGGAAACTTGCGGGAGCTTCTTGATCCCAACGCTTCGGTTGAGGATATAGTCTCTTTCGCTAGTTTAACGTATGTCGAAATATGAAAGTGAGCGAGAGCGGCATGAAGACCGTGCTGCATGGAGCCACGATTATCCTTGAGCTAAACCAACCAGGTCATCCGTTGTCAAATATTGGTTTTCTTCTCTCTTTGAAGGATAGGCGAGCCGCTTCTGAAATTTGACTTTTGTATCAGGGTGTTTATCCGTTGATTCACTTTTTCTTCCTGCCAGTTTTCCTGTTTTCCCGTCAGCTTTCACTTACATGATTACACACACCTCACTCTCGGCCGTTCTTCGCTGTGATTCAGATCGGAGTATCGTGTCCCAGCGATTAGTAATTCGACAATCCAGTTTCCTTCCTTTTTCAGCCTGCCGGAGGTCCGAGAGGATAACGTGTACGTTGCCATTGCATTATCACAGTGGATAATTAGATAGGTCCTATGCGGTGAGTCGGTGATACAATTCAGGTGCGTCCGAGAGAAACTACGAGAGTGGGAGTCTGGGAGAGCAGGCTTCGCAAGGTCACAGCAGAGATGGACGACAGCCCTCGTGAGTACGAGCTGGCAGAAAGACGGAGAACTGGCCGGCACTATCCCATCACCTTTCCATGTTCCTCCCTTTTCGTCTCCCCCTCCTCCTTGTCTTCCTAGTCTTCACAAGTCCCTAGCCTCCCCTAGTCTCCCCCAACCTACCCCAAACCCGCCCCAGCGCGGCTGCCATGGCCGGATATGTACATGCTGCCGCCCACTTCACGACCTAGTCGTCCGCCGCTCGCCAGGTCTCCTCCCCACGTATATCCATGCCCATCCCCATACCCCCAACTCTAGCCACCCTTGCTTAGTTTCGTAACAAGGCACCAAGGACACCATCCGTTCATTCCTTCCCCTCGTAATTTTTTCATGATGGTGGATCGGAAGTTGAGCGATTGGCCAGTCGGTGGAGCCAGTCCATCCACCCCGACTTACCTCGACCTTCCCTTCCCATGGGGTTGCATTGGCCGCGGGCTGTCATCTCTGTCTTTCACTCTCTTTGGGGCGGCGAGGGGAATGGGTTGGGTTGGTCCACGCGAAGATGGGATCTAGGATGATGTATCCGTAGCGCGGAGAGATCTACGTGCCCTTCTCATCCTCCTCCTCCCAAATCTAGGTATTAATACGAACCGCTCCTTTCCTTTTTTCATCCGTTCTACTCCTCAACCGTCGTGTTCATACCCTCAAGCCCACGAACATTCTTCCCCCCCTTCTTTCTTGTCTCTTCAGCAGCCCGCGAGCAAACAACTCTGTCAAAATGGCAGGCGGCGGCGTCAAGAAGCCCATCAACATTTTCAAGTTGGGAGACCTCGGTGAACCCGAGGGTGTCTTCAACTGGCGGCTATGGTTCGCGGTCATCTCCTTCGGCCTCATGGGCGCAGCCCGTGGTGTCGATGAGGGCCTCATCTCTGGTGCCTTCGGCTCCAAGGATTTCCAAAAGTTTATTCACTACGATCAATACAGTGCTGCTGAGAAGACCAACATCAAGGCCAACGTCTCCGCCATGGTCCAGCTTGGTTCCGTTGCTGGTGCTCTCATGTAAGTTTGACCACCCATCCCCTCCCCAAACTCTACATAGCAGGCCTTCCTCTGACCACCTATATCAATACAGTGCCTTCGTTATCTGCGACAAGATCGGCCGTATCTGGGCTACCCGCCAACTCTGCGTCATCTGGATCATCGGTATCGCCATCTTCATGGCCAACAACGGACACCTCGGCGCCGTCTACGCTGGTCGTTTCATCGCCGGTCTCGGTGTAGGCCAGACGCCCGTCGTCGGCCCCGTCTACCTCGCCGAGATCGCCCCGGCCTCTGTCCGCGGTCTATGCACCTGCGTCTTCACCGGCTTCGTCTATCTCGGCGTCGTGCTCGCCTACTTTACAAACTACGGCTGCCAGATCAATCTCGGCGACCACACCCACAACCGCTGGCTCGTGCCCACCTCCCTGCACATCATGTTCGCCGGCATCATCTTCATCTTGACCTTCTTCCAATTCGAGTCCCCCCGCTTCCTCGTCAAACAGGGCAAGATCGAGGAGGCCACCGAGACCATGGCCCACCTCCGTCACCTCCCCGTCGACCACGAATACGTCACCCGTGAGATCTACGCCATCCAACACTCTCACCAAGAAGAGCTCGAGGCCACCAAGGGCACCACCTGGTTTGGAAAGGTCAAGGAGCTGTTCCTCGTCCCTAGCAACTTGTACCGCCTATACCTCAGCACCATGGTCCAGTTCCTCTCCCAGTGGTCCGGTGCCGGCTCCATCACCCTCTACGCTCCCGACCTCTTCAAAATTCTCGGCATTTCGGGCCAGAATGAGTCCCTCCTCATCACCGCCGTATTCGGTGTCGTCAAGCTTGTCGCAGCCGTCGGCTGCGCCCTGTTCTTGGTCGACGTCATTGGTCGCAAGCGCGCTCTGCTCACGGGTATCACCCTGCAGGCTATCGCCATGATCTACATTGCCAGCTTCCTCACCCACGTCCCGAAGCTCGGTGTTGACGACTCCTTTACGCTCCCTGATAACCTAATCGGCGTCAGCAAGGGCGCCGTCGCCATGATCTACATCTCCGGCTTCGGCTGGGCCCTCGGCTGGAACTCCATGCAGTACCTGCTCACCGCCGAGCTGTTCCCCCTACGTGTCCGCGCACTCGCTACGTCGTGGGCCATGACTCTCCACTTTGCCAACCAGTACGGCAACAGTCGTGCTGTGCCCAACATGCTGGCGTCCACCGCCGTCGGTGGCATCTCCCCTATGGGCACCTTCTGGTCGTTCGCCGCCATCACCATCGTCGGTGGTGCATGGGTGTGGTTCTTTGTTCCTGAGACTTCCGGTCGTGCTCTTGAGGACATGGACCGTCTCTTTGAGCTTCCCTGGTACAGAATTGGTCTCCACGGTAACGAGGATGCCGATGCGAGAGATGTTGTCTACAACGAGAAGCAGGAGGCTGCTGAGGGTGTTATGGGAATGTCTGAGCACGCGGAGAAGAAGTCTGCCCAGGTCTAAAATGAAATTCACGTGAGAGAAGTCGGAGGCTTCTCATGGTTGAAAAGGGGTATATAATGAATGCAATATACCAAATAATGACATGAATAAATATCTACATTTTTGTGGTTAAGCGCTCAACTCGGTTTACTGCTTTTGTGGTGATACTAACTAGTCTTTTGATGCCACAACGACGATTCCAAGTCATGCTGGAGGCTCAGTCAACGGGCCACATTCTCCAATCTTTATCCCGCTGAAAATACTAAACGTAAAAGCGATTGGACCTTTTGTAAAGGGGTCTATGCACACTGATCGATAAGCTCACTCGAGTCCAGGGCCGTTCCTTGTCTCGTCTCAACCGTGTGATGGGCAGCAGTAAGACGACGGATTTATGGGCGCATTGCCGGATGGATAATCGGTTGCATGCTTAAATACGTTACTCAAAACCTAAGACGCGAGCTACACGTGGCTTATTCCGAGAAGAAATCTTATCTTGGATGAGCCCAACGAGTCAGTCGATTATTGAGTTGTTGAAACCAAACAAATGGACTGCATTCCGAATCTGTTTCAGCCCACAATCAGACACGGATGGGTTGACTTCACGTGCCATCAAAATGCTCGAAAAATTGCCACACCAAGAACGCAGCCGCTGGGGTCGACAGCCGTCCATAACTCCCCAAAGCTGCGCCCACAACCCTTCAGCCCCATATCCCTCTTGACTCCCTGAGCCAATCCCGAGGGATCGTCTTTGCCGCTGCTGTGGGTTTTGTCGACCGGCATCTTGTCTAGATTCAATGACCATCATCGAAGCATTCGGTAGATGCTAAGACGATTCCATCGACCATGCGGATTGTATTGAAGTAGAAAATCTCACCCAAGCAGTGATGGATATGAATAGTGATAGATTTCAGAGTGCGGGGTCAAAGGCCATTTTGCGTCCTTGGGAGTGAAACAAGAGGGAAACCCTTGAACAGCACCATGAAGGCCTCTTTTCTCCCTTTGCTATCGGCAGATGGGCTAATAGGATTGGCGTCAGACATGTCTCTGTGTCGACCCGACTTTCAACAGGCCGGCTGGCGACTGCATCAAAGACAATCAAGGAGGCACTGGACGTGCTGAATCTTTCATCGAAGCCATTGAAAGTGCGTTGCAAGTTTACTGATCTTCTACATCGCTGTCACAAACTTGACATGGTTAGGATGCGGGTTTTGTTTGACTGATTGGACGAGTACGGCGAGAAAAACTCTACTTTTCTTGTTCATATTCCCAGTGGCTTTCATGGCAATCAGGCTGGCGGCTAGATCTTTGCTCCTCGCACGCTGGGGCGCAGAAGATACGGCAATATGTATTGCTTTTGTGTGGAGGCCAACGGAACCCTCTCGCTTCCAAGGACACAATTCTGACCCAAAGGTTGTTGTAACCTTTTCTACCGATCTATTTCTCAGCAAGTTTTCTCTGGTGATTCTTGAGATCATGGCATGGCTAACAAGAAGTGAAAGTGCTGCGATGTGGTCTTAGATGAAACATCTGGACGCTGCAGCCGTTTGAGATAAGAAATGTTTCTAAACCAGCACTATACCTTTAGTCACGAACAGCTCAAGGACTTAGAACTTATCTGACCAATGGAACTTAGCTTCTGTTGTTATTTCAATTCTTTTAGATCTTGGGCCTTGCGGTTATCATGGCCTCAGCGATATACTTCTACATTAGCGTCTTCAATATTCAATTTTCTAGAACGCTCCTCTGGTGTCCGCAAATTTCCAATTCCTTCTCGGAGGCTACATCGTTTTCAGCCTCGTACAATGTCAGACATGTCAACATTGCTAGAATTGATGGGACGGCGTGAACGATGGCCATTGCGCAAATCTCAACATAATCTGCCTGACGCATGTTGCTTCCATTTTTCACCATCGCATTAGACGTCTGGATGATTTTTCTGCCGGCAACCGAATTGTAAAAGCTCAACATGAAGCTCAAGAAGAAAATTGGTGTCATGTCCATGTTCAGTGTAGGCATATTTTAAATGACTGCTCTGTTTCATCATCGCCGGTCATTAATCCATCATCGAATAATCCTCACTCCAGTCAGTATTGTACAGATCAAGATTCTCCTAGACTTCTTTTCCCATGCCAGCTTGAACAAACGCTCCACCCTTCTTTTCGGCGAACAAACCAGCCTGGATAGGTACCTGTCTGCTCGATATGAACTCGAACGTCATACTCATCGCGAAGTTGGGGGAATTTACGGTTCTCAAAAGAGACGTCTTTGACAGAGTGATGCACGAAAGCAGGGCGTCTGGATTGGCGATCAGGGATATGGACTATGTCGGGGCGTAGGGTCAGCCAGTACATGCATTCTCGGCCATTCTGAGTTGATTCCTCATCAAGGTAAGGAATACGTGAGGCTGACCTAACAGTAAAATCTAGAATAGCTCAATCGGTGGGGGGTTGTTCAAAGTGGTAATGGTCTTATTTGTGAGCAGTTGACATATGGCCGTGACGTCGGCAGCGGGGTGGGGCCGCCATGCGGGGCCGGACCGAGTTCGGGCGACTGTAGTCCGATGAACATCTAGCATCGGGCTACAATCCAAACAAGTGGAGGTACCTACAGCAGGGGCTCCGATGTAGCTGACAGATTCTTGCAAGCTCTTGACTCTACTAACAAAGGCTGGCTCTTTCTAGGTCCGTTGTGTGTGGGGAGTCTACTCTCTCTGCGGCGTCTATAGACTACTAGTCAGCGTTACCTGCCCAAATATGGAGTCTACTTATCAAATCCTGGTTCTGCGAATAATTTCAAAATGGAATGAGAAGAGGAATACAACACCCGACACCTCTCATACACATAGCCGCCTCATCATCGCACTCGCAAGACACCGGGCTCCGGAAAGGACAGGCTGTGGAGAAGGCAATTTTCCGAGCGGAAAGTAATGATATGTTTAATGGGGAGTTTGTTGACAGGTACAGTGAGGGTAGATACGATATGTTGATCGAGAGTATAGAAGAGTTACCCAATTGAGAAACGCTAGAGGACTTCCCGCTAGTCTACCTCTCAAAGGTGATGGGTTGAATCTGGCCTACAGAATCCGAGGGCGACAGGACTCCAGCAGTGGGATTCATGTGCGATCCCTGTAAACTTTGCCGAAGGTCTCGCAACATATCTTGCACAAGCCTGCATCGAAGCTACTTCTACAGCAACTGAGAACAGACGCCGAACTTTGGAGCCATGTATTTGAATCTTTTCCATGAAAAGTCTGAGCTGAGGAAAGTCTGGTATCAAAGAGGATAAGCACTCTTAGCTTCGCCATGTTCAGATCAATCTCTTTTGACCCCTTTTTCGGCTCACCAGCCAAGCAAGATGGCAATTAACGGTACCACGAATGACACGAGGAAGTCCATCAGTCTCAGAGCACCCAACCCGCCTATCGAGAACAGTGTTTTCAAAAAATTTCGGCTAGACAGACGAACAGTCATCATCACCGGTGGAGCACGCAATATAGGATCGAAGGTCGCCAGTGGCATCGCCGAAGCCGTTGCCAACGTGGATAGAACTTCAGACTCAATGGGAACCACCTGTGACTAACGCCAGTTCACCGGCAGATCACCGTCTAGTACAACAGCTTCCAAAGCCGCCGTTTTCATTGTCGCAGCCATTGCAAAAGACTTCGGGGTCAAGGTCAAGGCGTACCAATTCAATGTCACCGGCTACCCTGCCTTCGAAGCTGCGGTCGCGGAAGCGGTCAAGGACTTTGGCCGTTTGGACGTCATGATTGCCAACGCCGGGGTCCCATTCAAGGCTGGCGGCCTGGACGACGAAGTCAAGGACTGGAAGCGCGTGCGTGAAGTCGACTTTGACGGCGAATGTAACTACGTGAGGACCGTGGTATTGGTGTTCCGCCAGCAGAGGAGTGGCGTGGGCATCATCATCGCGTCCATGAGCCAGCGGCCATGCTGCAAACGTCCCACAGGAGCAGAGCCGCTACAATGCTTGCAATGCAGGAACAGTATGATTAGATCATTTTTCAGCTTTAAATTCCTGACAAGAGCATACTGGGGCTGAAACTAAAGACAAGCCCGAGGAACTTGGAAACACTGGCGCCGAGAAGTGATGAAGAAGCGTTTGATTTTTCGAAGCTGGGTACGCCGACAACGACTGATCCAACTGCCCTTCCGGCGCTCACGGTCTGAAGTCCCGGCATGCTCCCGCAATGCGGAATTGCACACCAAGAGCCACCAGAGCAGTCCCAGTCATCATTGCTCCCGCAAAATCATGTACTGTCGTCGACACCGTTCTCCAGCAAGAGTCTAAGTCCCGCACAAGCTCAAAGAGCCACCACCCTCGACAAACCCACAAACGATGCAGCGCATAGGGACTTCAACCTCCTTGGGGCTCATCCCACGGACGACTTTGAGTGGGACCAGCAGGAAACATTTACAAACTACTCGGCATCAAAGGCCGTTCTAGAAGCCGACTGGAACAGCGAAGTCATCGCGGACCCCATCACAGGCGGCATGGCCTCGCTGGCCGTCCGCGAAAGGGAGTCAGGCTACCTCGAAGTCGCCTCCGGTGCCGCTCTACTCCGTCTCCTGGAACCATCAACACCAAGACGAAGGACCCAATCCTCCTCATCGAGAACAGGGGCTCATCACACCATCGACCAGGCGCATCAGCAGCAATAATTCTCACAACCGCCGTGCAGCCGGATCCCAACAGACACATCACAGACGCCATGATGGACGCCTACTCCCGCCTCTACCACCTCAGCTACCCCATCGTCCACGAAGCCACCTTCAGATCTCAGTACGCCGGCGTCATCCCTCGGCCCAACGGCGACTGCTGGCTCGTCCCGGCATACACGGTCGCCGCCATCGGCGTCTACACCACGGCCGCGAACCTTGACAACCTCGAGGCCGAAAGGCCCGCTCTATCCTGTCCTTCAACTTCCTCGATTTGGGCAACCTGAGCCTCGTTCAGGCGCTCACCCTCATCTGCAACTACCAGAAGAAGCGGGACAAGCCGAATTCCGGGTACAACTACCTCGGCCTAGGCGTGCGTATGGCCATGGGGCTGGGTCTGCACAAGGAGTGCCAGGAGTGGAACATCTCGCCCTTTAACATGGAGATCTGACGGCGGTTGTGGTAGTCGTTGTGTGTCTTCGACGTTGGTGGGGCAATCACATCCAGCAAGCCTTCCGTCTAGCCCTGCGAAGGTGTTGAGGTCTCATTGCCTTTAAACGTCGGTGATAAGGCCATTCCGCTCTTTTGTTTGAGGTACCTTTGAGCTTAAGCAGACTTCACTGACCTTCCTCACAGTCACTAACCGCCATCTCAAAATCATATCCAGCGGAGACAGACGGCATCACCCCGTACACACCGGTTGGGACGCAAGCAAGCTTCCACCTCGCCACGACGCCAATCTACACCAGAGTATTCTCCAAGCCCCTCCCCTTCCCGGCTGAAATGATACACCTCGAACAAGATCGCCTCGAACCGTGGCTTGCAAGCGTTCCGCCCTACTTCTCAGAAACGAGCCGAGTGCCGCTAAAGTACGCCCTCGCCCACGCCGTCATGAACTGGCGGTACAGAACCCTCCGCATCATCAAGTACGGCCCTTTTGCCATCTGCCGAGCCTTGCAAGCCCGTGACAGACGACCCGACGACTCGTCTGACGACATCTGGCCCTTTGAAATGTGTCTGGAGGAAGCCAAGGTGGCCATCATAAGCATTAGCGAATTCTGGCAACGAAACGAGCACAACCGCTTAGGTGCCAGGTATGCCTTGTGAGTGCATAATCCATACCACCCTCCACGTCCCTCTCCAACCTCCACTTGCTCAAAGTCTTCTACAAGATACTTCCTCTTCCAAGCGGCACTCATACCATGCATATGTCTCCGCAACGACCCAGCTTCCCCTAACGCACGAGACTGGCGGTTTCAGATCACGACCGCGTAGCCACCCTCGCCCCCGTGACCTCGAGCTCGTCTCGCTGCTATCAAGTCCTCATTGACCTTTACGGCCGGTTCTGAACAGCAATGACGTCGCCACGAGTGCGGCAGTCGCGGCAGCGCCGGCGATCCGGGCAGATTACACCACATCCCTGGGCAACGAGACCAAGGCAGCACCATCTTCGGCTCCCGAACCCATAGACGAGAGCCCCTAGACCCAGATCAACAGCGTCTACTCCATGATGCGGCCCAACATATCTCCCTTGGAGGCCGCTGACGTCGTCATGGGCGACGATGCGTGGATGGAGTTTCTCAAGGACGGGGCAAGCGGCGATGGAGACTGGATGTGATTCGGTAGCTAGTCAAAGTACCTTGAACACCTCTGTCGAAAAGCCGGTTCTAACTGTTTTTGTTTTCGCGCCAGTTCATCCTTTAGCCGGTATCAAAATCTCCTACTACGCAAGCTTTGATCAGGAGATGTGATTGAATGGTGCATGTTCGTAATTGGGTCTCGGTACTTTGACTCCGCTGTTAGAGACATTCAGAGGCCTCAGGTCGGTTCTGCCAAGTCACCAGCCTATCTCATAACAATGAACATGTTCATCATGATGCTTCTTGGAGATTCCCTCCGCCCATCTCGGCCCGCGGATGTCCTTGGCGTGAGAGGATAGCCGAGGCACCGAGGAGAGCCCGAGGGGAAGGCGAACGATGGATGAGGGGGGTAGGGTTATAACGGCTGCGACACATTATGGCCCAACTTGGCTCAACTCTTTACCAAAGCATCATCAGCAGGAAGGACGCAACCAGGACGGATAAATTCAAGTTTATGGCAAAGAATGGTTGGCTAAGAGGCAATGCTCGCTTGTTGTAACCAAACCTACAGCCATCTTCTACTGCTCGTCGCGGCAGAGGCAGCATAGGATTATAGCTTGCGACAAGATTATATACCACGAGACCACTTTCGAAACTGCGCCCAGTGAGACATCAGCAATTTGAAGCTAACTAAGAAAGCCCTCTCCCAAACTGCGCAATACCCATGTCTTGACGCTCGTCTCGATAACCCGTTCTGAGCAGGCCACTCCATGCCCCGAGATCCATGCAAATAGCTCTCCTTCCAGTCCTTTCAAGACATTGCCAACCGACTTTGTTTCCGGATATGTGGTGCGGCGTCTTGTCAGAAGACCTATCATGATAATCTCAAAGTACAAGTGGTCTATAAGATGGTCTAACGGAACAATTCTTCCAGAGATCGCAGTCGCTCCAAATGGGGCCAAGTCGCGAGTGTGTGATGCGTCATGGGTGCATACATCCATGTGATGCATGAACTATAGATCCCCGTACCTTGCGCTGAATACCTCGTGCGGACGTTGCTCTTTTGCCGTCGTGCCCCTTTCGTAGAGGTCGACGATGCAGTCAGTGTTCCAACCAAAACACAATGACCAATGTGCTCTTGACAAGAACAGGGGCTTTTTTCGAATCCCTATTAGACCTTAGCAGAATCAGAGCATACAAGCTTATCACTGCTGCTCTCACAGCTTACTCTGTAGGATGTTAATTGATTACACGGTAAATACACGCATCTTGCTCATGCTCTGACGCCGATACGTCCTCCCCCCACCCATGATTTCCCGGGACCCGGCGATGGAGGAGCCATTGCCACGGTCCCAGGCCACCTGCAGAGTCTGGCACGTATTTTTATTTGATTCTCTTCAATTTCGCCCACCCTTCTTGAGCTGTACGTCCCCAGCGATGAAAAGTACCCCCCTTATGCACCGCATTTAGCCTAAAACATGCGAGCTCCCGATCTGGCATCTATCGGTGAAGACATGCTGCACGCGACCCCCTTGCCAACATTTGCCTTTGATTTCTTGGATGTGCTAGACAATTTCTCTTTAGAATTATTATTTACATCGAGTTAATGGATCCCTGGGAAGATATTGATGCGGTTGGCTGAGGTACCATAACTTGAGCTGTGACGGATCGCACAGCCATGCCAGTGCAACACGTCTGAAGGATCCGGGGTGCATGATCCCTTGCTACATGAATACCAGCCTTGCCAACCGAGTAAATCCAGCTACAAGTACTACTGGGTATGTATTGAACAATTTTGAAGCTGAGAATGCCTTCCTCCAGAGTCTACAAATGTGTCCTTACTTGGTGCGGTCGTTCGAGAATGCAAGTCCCGAGTACCTTGTTTCGATGGGTTTTCAAGTACAAAGTCAATGAAGGATTTCATCGAAGATGTTTTCTCTTTCCTCCAGAGACCGTAGAGGCACTTGGACCGACGTCCCGGGCCCGAAATTGCTGAGAAAAGGTCACCTGGCACACAAATTCTCACCGAGTAACTATACCCCTGACACCTTGATCAGCCGCGGTCCATACCATCAGCAGAAGGATTTCCCAACATAGTCACATCCTGCTGCCCAGACTTGAAGTGCCTAGCAAAACATACCTCAGGGACGGACCGAATGATGGCTGGAACAAGGTAGTGCATGCTTCCCCCCAAATACAGTTGTTGCGCGTGGTGGACTGGAAAGGTTAAGGAGCATCCTGTGACTGCTGATCCGAAGCAAGAATCCTCAGTTCGTAATCAGAGGAACCAGGACTTGCCGGGTGGTCCCACAGTGTCCGAGACCCCACGTCGGCCGTACGGCCCCTCTCTCGCTGAAATACCATCCCGGTTCCTCCCTGTTAATCACGGACAACCCAGCTCGCGCCCGGCAGCACAAGGCCGGGGGCGGGGGGGAGGACCAACTGACCTCTCGCGTCACGATATCCCGTGTGACGGGACCCCAGAAATAGACAAGATCTGACCCAATCGTGTTACGCTTCGCATAGTCCTTAGGCCTTTTCCCTTGTTCGTCTCACCTCGCTCCCCACGGACAGGCACCATCCCCCCCGCGCAGTGCGAGGGTGAGCCGGAGATCGTGTCACACTCTCCCCGTTCCTCAGCCTAAGCTCTTCATACAAGATTGAAGCACGATTACCACACATGGCAACACCATGGATCCTGCTGAACGACCCCCCCGTCCGAAGCTGTCCTCCGTGGCACCGCGTCTCTGGCTTCGGCTCGGCTTGCGGCCTCCGCTGGCTGCGAGATTTGTCGGGCCGCGCGATCGCTAGACCCAGCTTGAGGTATTGGTCTACACTACTGTGGTACTCGGGGGGGCCGGAGGAAGGTCGGTCTCGTAAACGATGCCTTCCATGAGCTGTCTCGGTCTCTTGTGGCTTGATCCGTCGACCCAGGGGACACCCAGGATGCCAATCTGACAGCACACTGTGAGCCTTACTCTTGTGATATGCATGTCTCTGAGACCTTCGCCCAGTCTGCGATAGAAACAAGACGCGAAGAATGGCGTGAGAGTCGGTTTGACAGCAAATTTGACTTCATCGCACAAACTTTCCCACATGACCTTCATGACAGATCCTTGCACACCCTGAAGGGACCTTTCAATGCTTTTTGAGACTCTGAGGATAGGTACAGGATACTGGCTAATGCTTATGTCGGCCAAGACATCTTGCTGTAATACCCATCCCGAGTTCACGCTGGTCGTCGCTGTGCTTCTGGTGTTCTACATTGTCAATCGTGGCTGAAGTGATATTCTATGTAAACTCGTGTTGGAAATTTCGTCCCCTGCTGGATCGGAAACGGGGTAAAAGTATTCATGCCATGTTTTCTTGAGTTACACAGTGCCCGCGAACTCTTTTGAAGTCCAACGGCTGCCTGCACCTAAAGCTCAGGTCCAAGTTCCAAACTCGCGTTGCTCTGAATCGTCTTGGCCAGTAGAAGCCGAATGGAGGCACACCCGCGATCAAAGACTCCGTCATTAACCAACATGATTATCGCCATACGAGACTTGGCGGTCTCGGGTCTATCTCAGGTCGGCACTTGTGCCACCAGACCGTACCTAGATAACTTAAGTATGTCGCGTTTTACTTTGCGGCTATTTTTCAATGTGCTTTCCTAGTGATATTTTTGGGAAACTCTTACATAGGAAGCAATGAAAACCATCAACCTACTTGCGTCGTGATCTGCGTAAGGTACGTCTAGTAATCGATTGTGTTGCCGCTACATCACTCCGAATCAAGCTGCCCCAAGGCCCGAAGCCAGGAGACACGATTACAAAGGTAGTCCCGAGATGGAATCACGATTTACCAACTATACTAGCGGAGAAATCATAACCATGATGCCATCTCGATTTATCATAGGTAGGCGTCAAATTGATGACGGCCTTCCGTCACTTGGTAGCTTGTCAAGTGCCTTGATATATGATTTGTTGGTCTGCACGTCTGTTTCCTACCTAACGGCAATTCTGGTTTGTGAAGCCCCTGTCGAGATACTCTTCAGACCCCTTTCACGACAATGTGCGGACCGTAATGAAGCAAGGTAGTATCTGTAAGTCGCCTGATATTGACAGTTCTTCAACGGGGATACGCCGGCAGGTGCAAACGGGAGAGCATTCACTTCGCATCATCTTACGTTGAAAGCTTCCCATAATTCACCTATAGACACCACGGCTCCCTCCGGACCCTGTTATCAGGGGAAATTTGGCTTCGCCGCCGGCCTACTCCTTCCTCCTCCCCTCACCGATGTTGCAGACAGATTTCTCCACAAACTCACCGGCAGTGATGTCGTCAGCTCACGTCTGACCACCAGTCTCTCTTTTCGAGACCAGGTTACCAGCACATCATTCCCCGGGTTCAACCAGCCAGGCCCCTCGGAGACGCAAAAGATCCAATGTCACGCCACGTTCATCGTTTGCTTGAGTATCTCGGCCCGCAATCTACCGATGTCAGCCAGATCCACGCCACTCCCGCTCGCCACGGAAGATCCTACCGCCAGATACGTAAGAAGCAAAGATGTGAAGGGCCCGAACATGCCGCGTGGGGGATGAAGGTCGTGGACGAACCCTCCTCAAACGGCCGTAGGGATTGCGTCGTCGGCACGACACCAATGATTTCGTGCTGTGCGTCTCTGAATCGACAAGGCAAGGCCGAACGCCTCACGAAGGAAGTGATGATACGCACCTTGTCTGCCTAGAATCAGACCTCATTCAGCAATTGAGCTGTATGAGTGCCCACCTGACGGTCTTGAACCGAGGTACTTTTGCTTAGCCGCGGCGTCAAACGGCCAACACATCAATCACACCCAACCTGATAAAAATTCATCGTCTTTTGTGGAGGAGAGACCGAATGTCACGCTCTGCTGACGGTC